CAAGTGCATACATTGTGTGACATGGACATGGACAATTATTAATTTTTTAAATTATTTTGTGTCCGTCTTCAGAGAGCATTTGGTGTTTGAAGCACTGGACATGCGGCCTCTTTCCAGCAACCATCCTGATTGGTCGTTTCTCAGCGTACCGCAAAACACCTGTCCGTCCCAAGAAGGGCAGGAAGACACCATTCAAGAAGGCACCACCCAAAAACACAGTCTGCTGCTGACACCAGCTTCACAGGCCTGGCGGACATGATGAAGACCCCATCACCAAAAAAGAGATCCAAGCAGTCCTTGCTGCTGATGCACCCTGGACATGCCCACACCAGAAGGGCCCGGCGTCATGGCTATCACCTCTGACATCAAGGGTGCCCACCCAAGGAGAGCACATCTCCTTACAAGATGGTCTCGCCACTCAAAGCCAAGCAGACACCCATGAAATCCTCAGTCACAGTGTCTGCTCTGGCTGCTGTCAAAATGTCAGGTAAGAGAATGTCTGAGAAGTTTGTGTCGCCGCTGAAGGACAGTAAGACTCCCATGAAGACGGGCAAGGTGGTTAAAGCAAAAGCCAAGACACCTGCTAAAACTAAGACACCTGCAAAAGCTAAGACACCTGCTAAAGCTAAGACACCTGCAAAGGCCAAGACACCTGCAAAGACAAAGACACCCGCTAAACCCAAGACACCTGCTGAAGAAAAGACACCGAAATTCTTGGTATGGCTGCTGTCAAAATGTCAGGTAAGAGAATGTCTGAGAAGTTTGTGTCGCCGCTGAAGGACAGTAAGACTCCCATGAAGACAGGCAAGGTGGTTAAAGCAAGGCCAAGACACCTGCAATGACCAAGACACCTGCAAAAGCCAAGACACCTGCAAAGGCCAAGACACCTGCAAAGACACAACACCTGCTAAACCCAAGACACCTGCTGAAGAAAAGACACCGAAATTCTCTGGTATTGCACGTCTCATGAAAACTCCCAAGCCTTTACCCAAGTCTCCAAAGTTGGGTGGCATCAAGCAGCTTGTCGCATCTCCCACGAAGATTGACCCTTATGATGACTTCGAAGGAGTACCTGAACTTTTTGTCACTCCTAAGCGACAACTCCCATCCCCTGTTAAGGCTAGCGCTAAGAAGACAACCAAGCGCAAGGCCTCTCCATCACCAGCTCCACCCGCTAAGCGCACCAAAGCAAGCACCCCGGGGCCCAAGGCCAAGAAAGCTGACACACCTGTTAAAGAATCCAAAATTGCAACACCTAGTCCTGTGAAGCCAAAGAGACCCAAGAGAGGAGCTGCACCCAAGCAAACCCCAGCCAAGAAAGCCAAGACACCTGCTAAGAAGACACGTGCTGCCAAGGCAGTCACGGATCCATCTCCTGCTCCAGTCAAGAAACAGACCCGTGGCAAAAGAGCAGCTGTTGAACCCGTTGAGGAGCCACCTGCCAAAAAGCAGGCTGTTACTCAAGCAGACTCTTTGGGAACAACAACACCAGCGAAGCGTGGACGTAGAGGAGCTGCAGCCAAGAAGGCTAAAACTCCACCAGCTAAAGAAAAGACCCCCAAGAAGCAGACAAGAGGAAGGAAAGCAGTTGCTGCTCCAGAAACTCCAGTGGTTTCTGTTGAACCGTCACCTAAGAAGACCCGTGGGCGATCTAAGAAACAGGCAACTGCTCCAATACCCAAGAAGACTGTGAAAATAGTGTCGCCTGTTAAGGCCGAGACTCCTGCTCCCGCAAAGAGAGGTAGAAGAGCAGCTGCTACAAGTAAGCCAACTAAAACACCCACTAAGAAGGCAACACCTGCTAAGAAAGCAACACCCGCTAAGAAAGCAACACCTGCTAAGAAAGCAACCACCCTGGATGTTGAGGAAGTGGTCCTTGTTGAGCCCAGTCCCAAGAAGACTCGATCTGGACGTGGAAGGAAAGCCGTCAGCTCTCCTGCGCAACCCAAGGTAGCCCCCAAGAAGACAGCCTCTAAATCTGCACCTGTTCAGAAAACACCTGCCAAGACACCGGCTAAATCCAAGGCAGCTCCCAAGAAGACCCCAGCCAAGACAACTAAGGCTAAGAAAGAAGCCGCAGCAGTTATAGAAGCACCTACTGACTCCCCCAAAACAACCAGGTCAGGAAGAAGCAGGAAGAAAGCATCTCCAGCTAAGCCAGCCAAGTCGCCAGTAAAGAAGACACCAGCCAAGAAGGTGCCACGCAGTAAGGCAAGCAAGGAGGTTACGGCATCACCAGTCATTGCCGAGCCAAGCCCCAAGAAGACACGTAGAGGGGCTGTCAAGAAGGCCACTGCCACCCCCAAACCAAAAGCCAAGGCCAATAAGCAGACTGTTGTAGAGATCATCAGCATCGACTCACCTACTCCTAAGAAGCAGCGGGCGACAAGGGGGAGAGCAGCATCCAAACCCAAGACACCCAAACCTGCTGCAAAAACCTCCAAAGCAGCCAAGAAGGTGGCATCTCCAACCGTCACCAAAAAGGCTTCACCTGCTGTCACAAGGAGAACCACTAGGTCTAGGAAAAATTGAAATCTGTCATTTTACACTGATGCAGATCTCAGGCTCAATAAAAAGATTCAAATAGAGCATTCATTTTCAGAAAACTTTGGAGTCATTTGTTGCTACATGTATTGAAGTGTGATTAAGATAAGAGGATTTAAGCATATTTATTTCTTCCTTTTTACTGGTCTCTTCACAAACAGTTCATTTTTTAGACTTTGATTGTCACATTAATCTACTAGCTGGTAAAATATTGAATCATTGTGATCTAAATTTGATATTTTCTTCAGTGTCTGAATGTTTTCGTACATAATATGCAGATGAATTGGACCAATATATTGGGATTTTGAAGATCCATTTTATACCATTTTAGTTGAAATGGAAAGGATGTAAAAGTATAAACGAGGAGTGGAATTTTACTTTTTGAAATTATTGGTATTGATAAGTCACAAGTAAAAAAACCCCCAATCATCAGTACTTCTAATTCCAAGTAAAGGGCGAAGTCTTCACCTTCCCTCCGAGATATTTGTATTGTAAATAGAGCTTGGATTTCACCTACTGTACATATTTGTACAAAGTTCATAGTTTTAGCCTTAGTTTTGTTAATCATTCATCTGCTAAAATAGAAATAGGGAAGCAATACATTCCTAATTGAACATTTGGGTTTTTATATTCTACTTTCCAGAACTACTTGTTACTGAAAGCGAAAATACTTAGCATGGTTTAGTGACAAATATTTGCAAAATAAGTCTTCCATTTGATACACGTTTTGCAGTTTTTGATGCAAGGGCAAAAGGTGACTACATTTTTGCACTGCATCGGTGAATTTCATAAAAAAATATTAAGGAAACTAAGGAATTCGGGAAAGTGGCCTGCCTAGTTTTCTAGCTTTTTATAGTGTTGACATTTGTACATAAGTGATCACATTTTTTCCAGTAGAAACCAATTTGGATATGGAGTGGTTTTTAAAGGTGTTCTGTAAAACAACCTGTAAAGGGGCGATTGTAAAAGTGGTTACGTATTTAAATGTGTATTCTTAAAACAATTTATTCTCGTGGAAGATAGTATATAGAGAGTGTGAAGTAGATTCTAGGACCGAGTTGTAAATATGATGGTTTTAAAGATTTGTCATTTTAAAGTTTCATTTAGGTGTCGTTTGTCTTCAAGTAATGTGTCTTCTCAATCGTCTCAAATCTACGGGAATTAGTGCTCAGGGGCTGTACGATATTTTGTATTTCTATGTAATTCGAATTCATATACATGTACATGTAGTGTTTTTCCTGATTTTTTTTTTTAAGAAAGGCTGACTGGCTGAGTAATTGGGTTATATCATGACTACTTGAAAGCTTGACATAAAAAAATACCACCAGAAATGCTTTAAGGCAACACTCTATTTATTTTGAAACAGCTAAAATATTTTTAGAGTAAAATTTGGATTACAAATAGACACAAAACTAGTGGGAAAATAATGTGTGTGTTGTTTTTTTTTCAGACAAGTTTTTGTTTTCATAACTGCTCATGGTGACCCCTTTTTAAATTGTAATACTATGTTAGTTTGATGTTAATTTTGTTCTCACAATTACTCTTTGTTTAAGGTCGTTAGCCACAGGTTAATAGAAACTCATGAAGGAACATTGACTGTCTCTTGTAAAGCACGCCCTCTGTTGTCAAGACTATCTATGGACTGATCAATGCAAAACACGTGTACTTGTACACGTATGTACATTAATCTCTAAAATAATTTTGATCATAACTTGAAATTTTGTTTAAAAAGAAAATAGATAAAGGCCACAGGTCAGGAGAAAATATTTGTAAGTGTTCAATACAATTCATATCGATTCACTTTTGTAAAAATAAACTTTCAAAAAACTCTTTTTGTCAAGCAGATGCGAGTAGAGCTGTGCTGCGGTATAAGAAAAAGTTAGTACATGTACATGCACTTGCATGTATTTTTGAGTGACGAAAAAACAGGCCGGCCCTGCCTAAAGTAGACTAGTTCCTTTGATATGGTATGTTACTACAAGTTGTCAAGTCCTTGTTTCAGGGACACGACAAAGATGGCACATGTAAGTGAAATGGGCTGCTGGTTTTCTCTCAACTCTGTTTGCCACTTAATGCTTCCTCGTAGCATTTTTATTTTAATAAAAATGAAAGAACTGAGCGAATGGGCCATTGGAAATAATAATCATATATCGGTTTAGAAGTGAAGCTGCAATCTTACAAGTGCAGCAAGTTTTCAAGAAGGCTACTGAATAAATCTTTGTACAGTTGTGATGATTGGAACCGCTCAAAATGTTTCCTGTACTCGTTGAATAAATTCTTTCCCTCCCTAGAACCTCAGAACACTCAATAATCTAGATGCTCTGTGGCAGTGTGTGTGATCCGAGGCAATTTCTGACCACTTATAATGTTTCTGACCACATTATGTCTTGGGAATCTGGTATGGAGCTTGCCCCAAAGTGGTGCGGCGACGCGGCTTTTTTTTCTTCTTTAAATGTCGGCTGATGTTGCGGATGACACTTCGATCCCCTTAAAATCTCTCAAAAATATCCTCGGGGCGGAGCTTGAGGTGACCTCAGTAAGGCATAAGGCATCTATCACAATGAGGAATTATTTCCTACAATTTCAATTCTACATATTAAAGTCAAACATTTCTTTATATTTCTTTTTAACTCGTGTGTGAATGGTACATTCAATCTGCGAAATGTGTATCTTTTTAATAAAACTGGTCATTTCCCTCCAATTATTAGTAGCTACGGATTGTAGCCTACTTCTTGTTGACTTTCAACTGAACAACCCCGGGGGAATTATTTTACAGAACATAAAAGATAATCTCTTCCAGTAAAATCCTAAAAAATTCGGGGCTCCGCCCTTGAACAAATCGCCCGAGTGTGAAGCCAAAGTTTATAGCGTTTCTGGCAATTACGGTGCTTTTGTAATGGTAATGACTACGTGCTAGTTTTATACCAGCCGCGCCGATGTTGTTCGACTGAAGTTCACGGACAAAATACGATATCTAACGACTTGTCATCAAGTCTAATCCCCCCCCCCCCCCCCCTCTTCACAAAAACAATAACCCCACTTCTTTTGCCGATGGCACGGCCGGGTTGTCTGAGTATCACCATTATCGACGGAGCCAAGTCTCCTAGTTTGGCGGCTTCGCCAGGGACGGGGTCTATTACATAGACTAACGGCCGGGCGGGTGTAATAAAACATCGCATTTTTTACTCATAACCTGAGCGTTGAGAGATACGCAGTAATGATGGAGGGATGATGATGATCACCAGTTGAAGAAAGGTAAAAAAAGGCAAAAAAAGGAGGTCTCTAAATGAAAACCACCTGCTACGATACGTAGCAAAGATGGCACAGGTAAAACTCTAAAGATGACTCAATGCTCTAGAGGGCGGGCAGCATCCAGGCACGCCGGAACGCGAGCAAGCCTTAAGCAGGAACGACAGGTAAACTCGACTTGAAGACATTTCTGGTAATCCTTTGTAATCCTCGACGAGTGGTAGCGCCGAGTCTTTGGCCCAAGGCTATTGTTTTTAGTTCGACATCCACTCAGTTGAGCCCAGGGCACGGGTGGAACTTTAGCTCTGGCATAATTGGGACCACTGGCCGATTATTGTGACATTTTTCTTGCCGAGTTGTGCGTCAAACGGAACAATCATGACCATGTGTGCACAATCATGGCACAATTTTGCTTAGTGATGGTCCAATTTTAAAACATTTTTAACAGGTTTCGGCTAAAATTGAAAAGCTTTGTGCAAATTTTAAAAAGAAGAACCTATAGGCTATACATTTTGTTTCTGTTTTCAAATGGTCGTCAATAATCTAGCTCAGCTTTGGCAAACTTTGACAAATTGACAGAACATTACTCTTCAAAAACTATGACATCTTTTTGTAAATGTAGTTCTAGGAAACGGACATGCGGAATTGTTACGCCTTGCCAAGAAAAAGGAATCATGTAAGATTGCCTCAGTTCTCCTTTGGTTGATAGGGAGGGGTAACCGTACCCTCAAATTTCCTTGGAGATCCTATTCTCTTGCTAGCAATTCCACACTCAAAAAGTGGTGCGAAACAATACATATCGAGATAGTCGGTCTTGCGACTAAGAGTGCGAGAATGCCTCCGGATTCTCAAGGTGTGCTTGGGGTGGGAGGGGTTGGGTAAAACGCAGTTCCTGGGAAGGTAGATAGGCGTGTTAACCTGAAACAGGGACAGTGACGATGCATTGTCGAACTTATTTGTATCACTGCTCACTGTAGGCGTGTACATTGTGATCTCATGCCCCGACTTCTACCTGGCCCTTCAGTGCAAAGGTAGGTCAGGATTGCGTCATATATCACAGGGCTCTACCCTCTGAAGGAATCTACGAGAGAGGAAACGAAGCGTCAGGGAAGACAATAGAACCATCCTACTGGGAGCGGACATGATGAAGTAGCCTTCAATTCCAAGCTGACATTGATGACGTACGACTTGAGGTACAGACTAAGCCTGTATATCATCAGTCTTAAAGAGGAACTCTGCTCAATCGTCCATAAACTCAACTGAATAATTATATCACATTTATAATTCCAAAGAAGTCGCATCAAAAATATTTTGTTTTTTTATATTATAGCCGGTCAGGTCCGCAGGAGGAGGCAAAGCGGTCACTAAAGAGAGAAACAAACCGTACCTATTAACTTAAACATTAATTGAATAACTATCATTAAATTTGAACAGCGCCATCAACGGTTACAGTTGATGACGAGTTTTCAGTCCCAACGTCTTTATTGTTAAAAAAAATTGCCTCGCCCTTGGAACTTTTTGTAATGTACACACTCTTTCATTGTTCATCAAAATCTATTTTTTTACTTTAAGATTTCGAAATTATGTTTTTGGACTATACTTGTAAACGAAGGCCGGTTGAAAAGCTGAAGTGGCTGCCAGTTTCCTTTTCAAGTCAACAGAGGGCGTTATTGGTAAGTCATGCTTCTCGTCACCCTTAGAGCTTATAGTTATTGAGTTATGTAGGTTGATGGGTGTTCTCCTACTTGTTCTATCGAGTCCAGTTGGATGATCTATTCATTTTGGCAGAATAGTCCTTACAACATGTGGTGTAAGTATCCCGCGGCATAACATTGAGGGATTGAATTCACATAATCAGAACAAAAAATCACAGCAATGAAAATTTGATATTTTCTAATCAGTATCTCGGAATGGACCTTTCCTGCCTGGTCAATCGATACAAAAATGCACATTGACCAATAACATCACGACCTTTGGTCAGGTGACCATGATAGCTTGGTCAAAACACTGTTAAACATGTACACAATTCAAATATGGGCGGGGCTATGGTCCACACGCCACAAAAGGTTTCGGCCAATGGGTAATAGTGTCAGGGTTATGTTGGTTCTTTGAACTTTAAGACAAATCTGCGAATTTCTTTAGTTACAATAAAAGATAATGTTGACTGAATGTCGACACAAATCTGTTAAATGTCGACACAAATCTGCAAAAATCAATTCATTTTGGTTTGACGACTCCGGAAAACTGTATTTGTTGAAAATTAGATGAAAAAAATTCATACTGATTTTTCCCCCCATTTTGTGTTTGACACTTTATATTTACCCCGAGACAAATTTTTTTTTAAAGATGAGAAATTCCAGAAACGAAAGAAACTTTATGATAGAACTGTGATCGTGTCAAAAAGTTCAGTGCTGCCCTAGTTTCCCGTTTGGATAATGTCTGTGAATGCCGTTGTGCTTCTTACAACATCAGGGAATTTCCCTCGTTAAACACTTGGGAATTAGTGACATGTTTGGTTTTAAATTTCGGGGTTAGCTTTGTTAAAAGAAAGATAAAACAGTAATGTTTTCTTTTTATCACATTAGTTGTTTTTGTTTGTTTATTCAGACGCGTGTTTAAAAAGAGAAGGGCTTGTAGAAATCGTTTTGGGAATTCGTAAAGCAGAAGTATGTTTTTGTTTCTCACCGTTGACTGTTTAAACTTGTTTTCTTTTCGCTCATAAGTTCGATTGGTAATTCCTTAAGGCAGCGAGCTTGTAGATTGCGTTCTTATCCCTTTTAACGTTCGGACATTTTGAAAGGGTTCGGGACCTGTTCAAGTTTTCTTCTTCTTCGCCCCCAAAAATTGCAATTTAAACACTCGGTTGAATTCCCTTGGTTATCAAACTTCTTCACACATGTACAACTTTCAAGAACCGTGGAAATTTTAGAACCGCAAAATGTTGGATTGTTGTTGAAAAAAGACGGTGGGAAGAGGGCAAAGAAAATACCGAGGCATTTGAAGTGGAAAAGAGCGACCGAGCAGAGTGTTTTTCCAGCGATTTTATCGTTCCGCTTGCTTGCGAATTGCCATCAAGAGCCTGAGTCGAGCTTCGGTCAGCGTGGGTCCGGACAACGTGATTCCCCCGGAACGGTTTAATTGAGGTATCGCTAGTTGCCTCACCCACCGTCCCATCGAGCCGCCAGCCCCCTAGCACAAGAGTCCTCGACACGGTAGTCTGTCCCCTCGTGACTTCCTGCACTGCAGTCCGTGTGGGACTCCGCCAACTCCCAGAGCCAAGACACTTCAGCCGTGGGGGAAATTGGACCCATTTCCTGGCCAAGCGCCTCTCCGCGCCCCGCGCAGAAACCGCTCGTTTCCCGTACCTCAAGATCAAGTTGCGATCGCGGGTCAAAACCTTCATACACAAGACAGGAATTTATATTTCTCGGCAGTCGGGGTCAATTTTCCTGTTTGACTCCCCACAAGTGCCTTCCAGCACATTACTACTCGTTTCGCCTTTAATCCGAGATCTGCGATATTGCACGGTGTTAAACGGATTAATGATGAATTTCCTTTAAGACTCCCATTTTTAATAACGAACCGCCACTCCCAAAAATCATCAACCAAATTCGCGGGCTTTCAATTCGTGATTTCCGAAGCTCGAATCATACCAAGTATTGGTTGCATAGAAACGGAAGTACTCCTCACTGACTTGAATTATTGTTTTTACAGCGAAATTGAGGATTATCACTAAACTCCACCACCTCGGCTCAAAGAGGAAATTGCGAGCTAGGCGTCGCGCGCATAAATTTACAATAACAACTACTTTCGGCAGAAATCTAATCTTGGCCCAAAAATCTCCCTGTCCCTTTTCTCTTTCAACCACAAAACAATTATTTCAGAAACTCGCACCCTTAGTATAATATCGTTGTGTAGAAAGGAGAGCACGGGCCTAGATCATTTCTGCTAGTATTACAAACTTTACCGTGATTGCAAGAGTAACGTTGGTGGC